TGGAGACTCGGGTGAAGGCTTGAGCAGCAGCTCGGGGCCCTGCCTGGGCTGTGCCCCAGCCTCCTTGTTGCCACTCTGACACGGCACTTGGCATGCGACAGCAGGCGGCCTGTCCCTGTCCTGCCAAGCCAGGTGGCAATGCACGCCCATGATCCAATCACCTTGGAAGGCCCCCCCGTGACCCCGTGAGGCTTGGGGACATCTGGATCTAAGCCACGGCAGCAGTGCCCCTCCAGCCACTTCTCACCTACAACAGTGGCAATTTCACATGGCCCTGGGTTTCCCGAGCAATTGCCACGCCCTGACTCAGCCACCAACCCTGGCAACAGGTTCACACTCACAGCGGTCCCCACGGGCACATGGAAACATCCCCAGCAGTGCTGCCTACAGCAGGGGCACGGCCTGGGAGCCGTGAGGTCCAAAGCACCACTCCTGAAACACAAGCCACGCGCCACCGAGGCTGGAGCAACAGTCACAGCCCTGCCATGCCATGGCCTGCATGCGCCAGCTGCACTGTCCCACCTACTCCTGCCACAGTCCTTAAGAAGAGGCTCTTCTATGGTCCCCGTTTTGCAGAAGACAAAGCTGAGGGCCAGAAAGGCCAGGCTGTAATGCCAAGGCTGTCTAACGACTCCAGACAAGTCCACTTGTACTCCTGAGCCATCCTCCCACCAGGCGAGGCTGGACAATGACTTCCTGAGATAACAGGTCCCCGTCTCTGGGACTCTTATTTGGAAAAAAGGTCTTTGCCAGTGTGATCAAGTTAGGGATCATGAGATGGGAAGATTGTCCTGGGCAATCTGTGGTGGCCCGAAGTGCAATCCCAAGTGTCCTTATCAAAGGCCCAGGGAAGCAAGGACCTGTGATGAAGAGCATAGAGAGCACAGAAGCTGGCTGAAGAGGGAGGTGGGGCCACAAGCCAAGGGGCACTGGCAGCCACCAGAAGGCAAAGAGGCAGAAACAGGCAATGCAGCCCTGCCCAGGCCTCGGCCTGGCCAGTGATCCTTGCTAACATGCTTTTGCTGCTGAGCCACAAGGGTGGGAGTGCCTTTGTTACTGCGGCCGCGGGACACTCGTGTGTGTCCCAAGTCTTAGATTTCTAAGCCACAGCCCCATGGCTGGGCCACACAACTTGTGGGTGGGTTCTTCTTGCACTGTTGTAAAACTGAGCACCTTCTGACACCCCTGGGCTAATCCTGCTTCTGCAGGGCAGATGTGAGACTGAGTGTGTGTGTGTGTGTGTGTGTGTGTGTGTGTGTGTGTGTGTGTGTCACTGTTGGGGACTTAGCCCAGGGCCTTCACACTGAGGTACAGCCCCAGCTCTTTTCTTATTTTTTTATTTTACGACAGTGTCTGGCTGAGATGCCTGGGCTGGCATGGACCTTGCATTCCCCTTGCATTCCCCTGCCTCTCAGAGAGCTGGGATTACAGTGTGCACCACCGTGCCACCAGAGAGGTTTTAAAATCAGAACAATTCCTTCCACCTCTGACTCTGTGTCCCGGGACAAGGCCTTTGGAACTGGTTTGGGGCCCTCCATTGGCCAGCACCCCTCCCCTGGTTACTCTTTAGCTTTTTGGTATCCCTCTTAAAATGTGACCCTACATTCGAGAGATGCAGATGAAAAAACACTGAGATTCCACCTCACCCCAGAAAGAATGGCTGCTATCAAGAAATCAACCAATAACAAATGCTGGCGGAGGTGTGGGGAGAAAGAAACCCTTCTCCACTGCTGGTGGGAGTGCAGACTGGTGCAACCACTGTGGAAATCAGCGTGGAGATACCTCAGAGAACTAGGGCTAGAGGTCCCAACTGACCCCGCTATTCCACTGCTGGGTATCTTCCCCAAAGAATTAAAAGAATCATACCACAGCAATATATGTGCACCCATGTTTATAGCAGCACAGTTTATAATAGCTAAAGCTTGGAAACAGCCCAAGTGCCCATCAGCTGGAGACTGGATGAAGAAGATGTGGTTTTTTTATAAAATGGAGTACTACTCAGCCATAAAGAACAAGAAACGAGAGACATTTATAGCTACGTGGATGCATATTGAGGCCATCCTCTTAAGTGAAATAAATAGGACACACATGTGTAAATACCGAATAGTTTCTCTAGGGTGAGAAACTGAAAGTGTAAATAAGGATAAAAATGATTAAAAAGAATAATTGATAATTTGAAATAGGAAAAGGAGGTCCAAAGGTGTAGGAGTGGTGGGAGGGGAAGGGGAAAGGGAAGAAGGGAAAGGAAAAATTATGAGAAAGAAAAAAAATGGAAACGAAGTCTAGGTAAATAGGGAAAGGTGGAGGGGGTGAAGGGCGCACAGGCAATGGGGAAAAATAAGAGCTAAGATACATAATGTACAGGTACAAGGACCCAGTAATAAATGTAAACGTACTGTTCACCTAAAATGTACCAATAAAAGAATTTAAGAAAAAAATAAAACAGTAACCCTACAAACACTTCGTTCTTGACTGCACCTGATCTAAGGGCCACGGTGGCATGGACAACCCTGAAACCCAGGCTCGGAGTCCATTCTCCCTGCCACTCCCAGTCCTAGGCTTGGAAACAGAAATCCGAGGCCTGGCACTTCTCGGGGTGAAGCGCACCAGAGCCGCCCATCTGTGGGCCTGGGCTCACGTTTCTGACCTGGAGAGAGCACCGGGGACACTGCCTCTCCCGTGACCTCTCCATGGACTCGTCCCTTCTTCCCTCGGGCTGGCCTGACACCGGGCCTGGGGCACAGAGACTCGGGCTGGACTGGAGCCAGGACCTGACATTCACATGAAGCCAGTCACAGCTGCGGGCATGGACCTGGGGGAACTGGGCTGGGGCTCAGTGCCAGCCCTGGCTCCTCACGTGGGCACACCCCCCCCAGCCAGAGCCCAGAAGGCTTCTCCTCATGGAGCTGAAAATCTGGCAGGCTTCAGCTGGCAGCAGTCACATCAGGGAACCCTGTGGTCCCCAAAGCCTGAAGCACAGAGTGCAAACCACGCAGCGTTTCTTCCCATTTCTGATCTGGGCAAGGATCGAGCTGCCTGTGTGTCTTTAATTGGGTGACTAATTTCACAAGAAAAATATCTGAAATTTGTGCTGTATTTTCCAAGAACTTGTCCCCCTGAGCCATTCCACCGGATTGCTCATTTCTATTAGCTTCTAAATTTAAAACACATGCTGGTCCCTTTGCAGTGTGCAATCGGAATTCACCCTGAGTCTCCGATCTGGAAACCAGATCTGCGCCCATGCTGTTGGAAGTGTGGCCGGGCCCTGTGTGGCTGCCCTGTCTGTGTCAGCGGCCAGCTCGAGGCCCTCAGTCTGGAAGGCGTTGTGCATCTCCGGGGCTAGGGAGCAAGGCTGAGACAGGCAGCAATCTTGACCACTGGTAACAAAGCCTAACCGTTTTTCAGATTTCTGATGAGACTAAAAATGACTGAGTCCAATCTGTGTTCCCAAGAAAGGGCCTGGAGTCTGCGGACCGTGGAGGCGGCAGACGGCTGGAGGCCCCACACAGAGCTATGGGCTCCTGAGGGGAAGGAGGCGCACGGCCCCAGGCAGACCTTCCAGGCGTTTCCAGGTCCAACCTGGGCACTCTCTAAACCACATGCTGAGGTTAAAGTTAGCATCTTCATAGCAGAATGTTGAATGAATCGGAACGCGCCCGCGGGGAAATAGCTGAGTGTTACGTCACTGCTGTAGAACACTGTTGCTACCCCAACACCAAAAGCTACCATTGCGAGTGCCAGGGTGCTTCCTGGAGACTCTCTCATACAACGGTGAGTGAAGAAACCAAGACACAAAACTACATCTGCAGCGGGATTTGAATAAGGTAAAATCCCGCGTGAAAGGGGAGGGCACTGTGGCTAAAGAGGATGAGCAGCAACCGAGATGTAGGAGGAAGTACAGTGGACCCTCGAGTTACAACCGGCCTGACGTACAAACAAATTGGGTTATGACCGGAATTTTAGTTTTAGTTTCCGAACAAAGTCTTGAGTTACAACCCGGATGCTGATCACTTGTGCTTCCGGGTGGTCTCAGATACAGATTTAACCTTAAAGATCTCTGGAAGGAACATGACAACATCCTTTCCTGTGTGGGGTTAAGTGAGAAGTCCTGGGCCGGTGTCTCTCTAAGGACGCTGAGATCTGCCGGTGTGCAGGAGAGAGACTGTGAAGGCTGTAGAGGCTCCTGAGCCTTCACTGACCAACTTGAGTTACAACCAGCCCTCGGGAACAACTGAGTTCCTAAGTCAAGGGTCCACTGTATTTCAGAGGAAGCAAAGTCCATCCAAGCCTCAGCTGATGACCAAGGTGGTTGCTATGTGCCTATCAGGAAGATTGTGTACCTGGCTTGCAAACACAGGACATGGGCACGAATCCTGAGCCGAGCAAGATGGGGAGAGGATCTCAGTATGCTGCTCTGGGATCCATTGTAATTGAAAACTTGGGAACTGTTTATTTCCAGAATTTTTCATTTACTATTTTGATCATCATGAGAAAGTGAAACCGAGCAAAGGGGCGACCCTTGTACACAGTGACACCTGACTGTCAGCCCCCGACAGCAGGTGCCGACCGCATGTGCCCGCCACACCAGACCAGGCTGTCCCGCCCAGGTGCCCTACAGGGAGCTCATGTCACCCTGCAAAGCCAGCACCGCCCCAGCTCTGTCTGCAGCTGCAGCATAAACAGGAGTATGTCCCTCTCACCTCCGGCACCTCCAGAAAGGACAAGGCCATGCTCAACAGGCCTCGCGTGGCTAATTCCTGCCGGAGATCAAAGTCAAGGTCTACCCTTGCATGCATCTGCCCCGGGGACAGCACCAGCTATACACAGAAGCACCGCGCAAGCACAGCTGGCCAGGAGCCCCAAGCGGACCGGAGAACCCAGCACCCACATCCAGCAGGGGCTGTGGCCCTCATGGGTAGAGGCAGAGGTCTCTGTGATCCACGGCATCAGGTCTAAAAGGGACCTCTGCGCTGTCCCCTCCACCCCAAGCCCCGCGTTACCTTCCCTGGTGTGGCTCAGCATTGGGGGAGGCAAGGTGAGCGCCTGGGGACTGATGCACTGGTAGGAGCCTTCCAGGTTCAGACACCGCTGCCTCTGGGAGCAGGTATGGAGCCCGGCATAGACACACTCATCCACATCTACAGAGGAAGAGGCCCGGTGAGACTCCATCTCAGCCCCTCCCTCGTCCTCCAGCTGCCTGCTTCAGACTGGCCTGAATGCTCCCCACTGAAGCTCAGCTCCAGAGCTGCCTCAAGCTGAGCAGATCGCCTGGGGCCCAACTGAGCCTGAGCAGCCTTGAAATAATGGCCCGAGGATAAATCCCGGACACTGACCTCAGACCAAGCCACTCTGTGCCCAGGATGAAGCAAGGCAGAGCCAGGCCCCCTCCAGGTGCATCTAAGCACGGGTGCAAATATACTTCCGGGTCACCCGAAAGTACTAGCCCCTCCCTGGCCCAAATTCCTGCTGCTTAGTCATCCATCAGTGGTCGCCTGTCTCCGAGCAACGTTCCCACTTCCTACGGGTGAGGTGGATGGACACTCCCAGGTGCAGATTGCCCCACTTTATGACAGCCCCAGTCTTGCTCCCACAGACCCTCCCTGAACCTCCAAAGCCACACCCTGCAGTAGGGTCTCAGCCTCCAGGGGCCTGGTGACCACCAGCAGAAGGGCACAGTCGGGACAGTCAGGACTGGCTCTTCCTCATCCCCTGCAAAGCCCCAGTTGGGTTCTCAAGAACATCCGTGGTTCTTGGAGGAAGGCAAATGCCAGCCCTGAGGCTCTGACTCTGGCACCATCACGTGTGACCTGCAGTGCCCCAGCCGACAGCAGCCGCCTGTCAGGAGCCTCCAGCTGCACCTGCTGCGGGGGGCGGAGCTCGTGCCCCAGCCTCTGGCTTGGGTCCCTCAGAGGCTGCTTCGTGCTAGTGAGGCAGAGCTTAGCTGCTGGCGCTGAGGCCACATGGGCCCAAGGCCCTTGCCACAAGCTGGGTGCCAATCCCTGACGTAGACCAAAGCAAAACCAAAGAGCAGCCAGATCACTTCTTCCAGGAGCAAGGCCGCATCTGCGCTTAGGCAAGGACAACTTCAACTGGGGAGTCCTCGCCCCTGAACCTGATCTCCCTCCACGTACGCCATCCTGGTTTGGCCTCAGAGTCCACTTCCCCCCGGGCTGCCCGGGCCCCACTGCAGGGCCCCAAGGAGTACCAACCTTTCACCTGGATGCCCATCACTTCACACACACGCTTCATGATGTCGTCCAGCAGGGCGGAGACGTTGGCCACCGACAGTGGCTGGGCCAGGCCAAGCAGCAGCTGTGACACCGTGGTGGAACTGTCCCCGCTGGCAGAGCCCAGGTAGTGGACGGCAGAGTCCAGTGGCTGCAAGGCACTGGTGACCTGTGAAGCCAGAAGGAGGGCATCAAATGGGGGCAGGGCGCCCCAGACAGAAAAGGAGGCTGAGGTCAGGGAAGCTACACCCTGCCGTGCACTGCTGCACACGCAGGGCTGCTGGACACAGTGCTGCACTGGTGCCTGTGACCAGAATCCCCTAAGCTTTGGCAACCTCTGTCATTCTCAGCTGAACTGTGCCCCCGAGCAAAGCTGGCACTCTGGAGCCCTGAGCCCTGGCATCTTGGGATGTGCCTTATTTGGGAATGGTTTTGCAGCAGATGTGGCAAGATGAACTCATTAGGGTGGGCTGGGATCCAGGAAGGCTGATGTCCGGACGTGAGGGCAACTTGAGCAGAGACAGACACCCGAGTGGAGGCTCAGAGAAGGACAGCTGTCCAGGGTCACTGAGAGAGGCCCAGCATCCCCAGAAGAGCCTGCCTTGCTGTACCTCGGTTTTGGGCTTTCTGGGCCAGCGCAGTGGGTGAGTGTGTGCCCACTCACCTGGCTGGTGGCTCTGCCACAGGACATTGACACTGAAATCGCCCCAGACCCTTGGGACCCCCCACCCTGCCCAAGCCAGGACCCCAGGTCTTGGAGCCGGGGACTGAGGGATAGGAACCAGAGTGGGGGGGTCCCACTAACTGTCTCTCGAGTCACAGTGCGTCCCTGTCAAGTGCTCCCTCCGCTCTGCGTTGCAGCCTGATTTCCTGACCCCACAGCCCCGGGAAGCCAGGCGCAGTGGCAGCCACACGCCAGGCCAGCATCACCAAAACCAAGGCAGGCTGTGCCATCCCACCCACGTCTCCACGGGGAAACAGGAGGGTGCGGGATCCGGGGTCCCTCTCTCGCCCACTTAAAGCTCCTCCCGCAGGTAGCACAGGGTCCACCCAGCCGGAAGCAGGCGGGAGGCCTGCATCACATCATACCCACCAGGGAGCAGAGGAGGCGCGAGTGGCTCCGGAGCTCAGGGTCCGCTCCTCGAAGGTCCTTGAAGTCCGTCTTCACCCGCATGGTCACATTGTACCAGCTGACCAGGCTCCCCTCTGCTGTGGCACCTGCGTCTGGAGGGCAATGCGGATGGGAGCCTGGGGGCAGGGCCACAGGGGCCCCCAGGCAAGGGGACACTGGCCTGGGAGGCAGGAGGCCACGCAGTACCTGCAAGGGGCGGGGAGGGGCCCCAGGCCGCTGTGCCCTCCTCCCTCCCGATGGCCACTAACCCCGTGGGCCCGTCTATGATGGTGCAGGGGACCGTCCTCAGGTAGAGAGGCCAGTTGTCCTGCAACCCTGTCACCGAAGAACACAACAACGACATCCACAATCACTGCACACTAGCCCGTGACCTGTACTACTGTCATCAGATAGTATAACGTAGACAATACCACATACTACCTGACAGGATATTGTGCATGACAACCATAGGATGCTCTATAAAACACATCACATATGTCCCATAATGAAGAGTCTAACAGAAGAGTGAATACATAGTAGTATAATTATACTTGATATCATTTATACTATTACTTTATGACTATATATTATATTAATGTGTATTAATACTACAGAGCCCACCAAAAAATGCATACATACTTCAGGAAAAGAAAAATAGTATGGTTTTGTTTTCAGCAGATGGGGGACCCCAGAGGATGTCATATGTCACAGAAAATCCACTGCACTGCTGGCCCTTGGAGACGAAATTGAAAACGCACATGCAGCTCTCTCAGTGACAAAGGTCACCCAAGCAGCAGTTCACCGCACTAATAAACATCTGGGAGCTCATGGCCACCACCTTGAGCAGCTCTTGTCATTGCAAAGGACAAAGGTAACTTGTATTAATCTCTTGATGTCTCAACATATTTAGTAGTAAAACATTTATACAAGTTTTCTTTTCCTGACGTGCGGACTCTGTATACAGTACATATGATGTGCATATGAATTGTTTGATGGTGTCTCTGGTGGACCGATTCTAGGTCTCTCCAGGGATATCAAAATATCCAAGGCTCAAGAACCTCATATAAAATGCCAAGTGTTCACATAGAACCCTTGGATGTGGAAAGCCAGCTGTGCTTTGGAACAGTAATTCGCAGTATTATGGTTTTATTTACACCATTCTTTATGATGACACGCTGCACTAGTATGACCTTATAGGTTATAGGTGATGCATCTACATATATGGAGTGTGATCAAAAATTTGGTGGATGGTCACATTTTTAAAAATTTATTACAGTTAAAGGCATGCTGTCATTAATCCTCTCCAAATACTTCTCACTTCAAGCACACACCTCCCATCATTCTTGCCACTTCCTGCAGCAGCTCTGCGGTCCTCTTTCCTGAGTGTCTTTAGTTGCACTGTCCTGGCTCCTCGATGTCCTGAATGGATTTAAAATGTTTCCCTGTCATGGACATTTTGACTTTGGGGAAGAGCTGGAAGTCATGTGGTACCAGATCCGGTGACTAAGATGGATGAGGACACAGCGTCATGTTTTTATCAGCTGCCTTTCTGTTGGATGGCGCTCGGCAGCAGCAGTCACTGTATGTTTTATCACATCTCCCAGTGACGCTCAGGAAAGAGGACTCCAGGGCTGCAGCAGAAAGCGGCGAGCACAGTGAGATAGGTGTGTGGGAAGGAGGGGAGGATTTTGAGAGGGACTTGTGTGAGTGTGTATTTACTGCAGTGCATTTTCATTTTAAGCACTCACTGTACATCCTGAGGGGCTCTCACATTAGTGGTCTGTATGCCCTCCCCTGAGCATTGGCTGACGCATGGTCCAAGCCCACGCCCGGTCAGGAGAAACTTCTGACCAGCAGACATGCACACTGGGCTGGCCACACCTGCCCATGGGACGTGGAGGGAGGGTGCCAGGTCCGAGATGTCTACAGAGCAGCCACCTGCCACGCGGGGACGTGGCTACTGCTGCTCCCTGGTGTCCCTGGCACACAGGCACCTGGCTTCTCTGCTCACCAGGACGGTCTCCTAGCCCAGAGCAACGAGAGCCCTGCACTCCAGAGGCTCCAGGGCCCACCTGCACCCAGCTGCATGCCTCATGACATTCGGCCTTCCCCAGATCCCGCAGCAGCCCTACCTTGGAGTGCAGGGGCCATGCAGAGGTGTCCCCCTTGCTGGGGACAGCACTTCTGAAGTCCAGGGCAGTCAGTGTCTGAGCTACACGAGGAGACGGGTGCCTCTAGTGCTGCCGTCGGGCAGAGCCCAGGTCTCGATGCAAACTCTGCAGAGCGATTCAGAGCTGGGGAGAAGGGAGAATGTGCAACACTGGCATCAAGAACTAGCGCCCCCAACAGCCACGTGGGTACCACAGCCAGGCTTGCCTCCTCCCAGGACCTGCTGGGACTGTCTCCAGCCTGGAGAGCACAGGGCGGGGGCGGGGTGGTCCGGGGAAGGCTGCCCTGTGCCCAAGTGGGTGGTGGGGATGCCCAGGGGTCACCCTGAGTATACAAAGATGGGCTGGCAGGCAGCAAGGGGGCACAGGGTACAGGGGAGGGGGCTCCAAGGCAGTTGCTGGCTCCCTTCCTGGGGAAAGCAGCTCAGAAGGGCCAGGACCCCACTGTGTGCAGCAGTAGCAGTAGCAGCCTGCCCCACTGCTAGATGCCACTGGCACCCTGCCGTCCACCCAAGGGGTCAGCTGAGGCCCGGTGCCTGGCTGTGGCCACTCACAGGCTGGTCTATGTGAACCCAGCTGGATGCAACTCCAGGAAAGCAAGGTGCAGGGACCACAGGCACAAGGCCTGAGATCATGGAGTCACCTGTGAGGATGGTGGCCCTGGTGACCACCAGAACCTTGGCTAGGGGCTGGGGAGGCCATGGTGGGCTTCTGAGGAAAAGGGCTTAGGGAGGTCTTAGAAAGGTCTAGCAGGCGTGGTGGCACACACCTGTAATTCCAGCACTCAGGAGGCTGAGACAAGAAGGTCTCCATAAATTTGAGTCCAACCTGGGCTACATAGTGAGTTCAAGAGCAGCCTAAACTACATAGCCAGACCCCGACTCAACAAAACCAAAAACATAAAGGGCAGGAAATGTCTGAGAGTCACAGAACACACGGGGGAACTGGTCAGGTGAAAAGGCTTGACGGAGTGGCCCCGGGACATGAAAACCAGCCCTGTGTGCAGGATAAGGAGGGTGCCGGTCCCCAGAGCCGGAAGTGGTTGCTCCAGCTCCCTCATGAGCACCAGGGCTCTTGTGAGAGGAGACAGAGATGGCCACAGAGGAGCAGCAAACGCCGAACGAAGCTCTAGTTCAGAAACCGTTGCAGCCCAGGCTGGGTCCTTGGCTGGGACAAGGAAGATCCTGACATTTGGGGAAACTCAGTGAGCGTGTGGGGAACCCGCTGCAGCACCTCCCACCTCTCTGCAAATCTAGACTGATTCTAAACTAGCAGTTTTATCTCAATAAGAAGAGACAGGTGCGGCCTTGGAGTTCAAGTCTGTCTCTGTGTAAGGATAGCTGACGGTTCCGGTCCCTGCAGGCCTGTGGGGAAGTTCAAGTCTCCTCTCCTTCCCTAACTCAAGAGACGGCTGCCTAGCACGGTCACCCCAGCTGGTGACCACGGCTCAGCGGGACGACAGCCTGGGCTTCTGTTTGGGCAGCAGCAGCCGGGGCTCCAAGGTGGAGGACCCCGCCGCTGGAGAGCAGAATGGGGCATCACTGCGGGTGAGGTGGGGAGCTCAGAGGTCCTGGAGACCCCCCAAAGAAGGAGAGTCCCCCAAGACGTGAGTCCATGCTATGGAGACACCGCAGCGTGCATTGCTACCAAGACCCTCGGTCCCGAGTACACAACCCGACTTGCGCCCTAGGCTGGTCACCACACGCAGCCTTATTGACAACAATCAGAATTAGAAACAGCTAAATGTCAGGGGCAGGCAGCTGCTTCACACACAAGGGTCCGTCCCACGAGGTGGCGCCCTGTGGCCGTTCGGTTCCCACAGAGGACAAACGTTTATTGGCATGAAAGATGAGGTGGGGAGATGGCCAGGAGGGTCCTGACCAGGGCCACCTCCCTGCCATACACGGGGGCCAGGGGAGAACATTCACCAGGGTTGTTCTCAGATGGAGGCCTCTGGGAAATTTCCTTGCTATTTCTGTGCTCCCAAACTCTGCAGCTTTTGAGTTCACGTCTGTGATTCTGTTGTACAGTTTCTCTGAATCATGTGTGGCTTGTCGCTGGGTTCTGAGGGCCGGACTCGCACGGTCAGAAGTCGTGTCACGGCCTGTTCGCAGCCTTCTCCCGTTCTTACCGAGTGGGAGGGGAGGAGGGAGCCAGCATTTCGCAGCTGCCTGGGGACAAGGGTCTTGGGCACCACAGATGCCCTGTCACAGAGCGGAGAGTGGCTTTGGCCTCCTCTCTGTCCTCCCGGACGTCTGCTGGATCCGGCTCCGGCCCTGCCTCCATCTAAACCAGTCAGAGCCACAGTTCTTAGCTGGCCTCATGCAGAGAGATGTCATCTCCAGCTCAGAGGAGCCAGGCTATCGCCAGGTGTCTCCAAGTGAAGGGGAACATGCTCTGATCAAGAAGCTACACCGACGGGCCAGCTGTGCTGCCCGTACCAGTGTGTCAATGCTTCCCTGCAGCAGACAGGGGCTTGGGCTGGTCCCTCTAGGAGGCTGGGTGCCGCCCCCCCCCACAGGGACTTTCCTCAGGGACAACCCGAAATGTCCTCCTCCCACCCTCACCCATGCCTTCCTCAAACACTGTAAGCGCTCACCTCTCGAGGGGCAGCTTGGAGACTGGCTCTGGCTGAGATCCCCAGGCGTCCCCAGCTGCCCTTCCTGGGTGCCTGCCGGGCCACGTCACAGCCCCTCCTGGGCTGTGTCTCTGTGGGCTAGGCTGTAGGTGTTTGTGTCCTGAGAAGGCACCCACATGAGGACTGACTTCCTGTCCCTCCCTTGCTCCTCCTGGGCTCCTGTCTGCCTCCCTGTTGCTATCCGACTGGCCCTCCTAAGATCCCAGGGGACCCTGCACTGTCCTGGCCCCAGCCTCCCTCAGCCACAGCCCTGCCTGGCACCTGCCACACAGTCACCTGCAGCTCAGGCCTTGGTCCTCCCCCTCCCTGGGACTCTAACTGGAAGTCCTTGCCCCAGTGCCCTGCTGCCCTGCCTAAAGGTGCTAACTCTGCAAGTGGGCAGAAGTCCCAGGAGAGGGGAAGGAGGGCAGGTGGTGGAGGGGGACCAAGAGGGCGGCATGAGGGGGCCAGGATCTGCCCTGCCAGGGACACGCACCGGTCTTCTGCCCTGTGACCTCACTGGCCCTGACAGCAGCTGACAGGAAGAAGGAGGCCTGGCACGGGGCACGGGGCACAGGCACTGGTGCATCCTTGCTCTGCTAGATTCTGGCTGCAAAGCCCACACCCATGTCACAGTGCAGGGTCCCTAAAGGTGGCTACTCCCAGGGCAGGGGATGGTTGCTGGCTGCTGGCCAGCCCCTAGGTGCCCCCAGCCCTGGGGTCAGGGACATCAAGAAGGGCAGCTGCCAGGATAGGAATGAACACCTGAGACCCAGCACCCGGCAGGACACGGCCTGTCATTACCAGTGCCCCCATCAGGAGACAACAGAAACCCAGGATGGAGTTCCTCCTGGCTCCTCCTGGTGCAGGTGGCGCTGGCGCTGGTGGTTGTGGTGGCCTTTAACCTCCTGGCTGATGGTCTACACCATTACCTGCTCACCAGGACCAGCAGGGCCGCCCCCCCGCCACCCTCGTGGCATCACACGGGGCCTGAGGGACGCACTGGAGAGGGCTCCACCAGCCTGCACTGACCCAAGGCTCTGCCACCCATGGGCCCAGGCTCGGGTGTCACCCGCAGCCTGACCTCCAGCCACAGGGATGCGTCCTGGGGGTCCCACTCAGCACCTCGAGCTGGTGTTTTCTGCAGGCTGGGGTGGCGGCCCTCCCACCTCGGGTTACCCCACTGACACCTCACCTCACCCCTCCTGTCCCTCTCTGTGCGACGGGGAGCAGGACCTTCTGGCTGCAGGGTTTATCTGATCTGGCACTGTCCCAGAGTCACAAAGCATCACCCACACACGCTCACACGGCCATCCCCGCAAAGGGTCAGCACAGGCTTCTCCATGACAAAGGCCGGTCGCCCTGGTAACCAGGCCCTGCCCAGGCGGCAGGAGGCCGGGGCCCGTGGGCCCCTTCTGCCTCTGCTGGGTTCACATTAGGATCCCAGCCGAGGCCCGAAGGTCACTACAGCCTTTCAGAAGAAAAGGCAGAGCCAGGCGTGGTGGTGCATGCCAGTCATCCCAGCACTCAGAGGCTTTGGCAGGAAGACCGCAAGTTCAAAACCAGCCCGGGCAACAGAGTGACTTAGCCAGACCCAGTCTCTAATTTAAAAAAAAAATGAAAAAGTGCCGAGGATGTCGCACAGCGCGAAAGCCCTGGGTTCGATCCCAGCACCACAAAAACCAAAGAGAGGGAGGAGAAAGAGGAGAAACGGTGCCACTTCCACAGAGCTTGCGACGCTGTTCTCAGCCTCTGCATTTGGAGTCCTGGAGGAGCTTCCAGATGGCCAGGGCCAGGCCAGCTCCAGCACGGGGCGCGCGGGCATCCCAGGGCCCTGGATGTACAGTCAGTGATAGAAACCCTACATCCGATCCCCGCTCCTGACCCAGGACGCCAGAAACCGGGGGTTGGGAAGGGAAATCTGGAGTCCCGCAAAGGACCTGCCGGGGACCACAGACCACAGACCCCTCCCTCCCGGGGAGGCCCCACCCCGGCCCCACCCCGGCCCCACCCCGGCCCACCCGACTCACGCAGGACGCAGTAGACGCCCAGCTGCTCGTAGCCCTCGCAGCAGGCTGTGACGTTCCTGGCCTCAGGCGCCTCCACCGTCAGGTACTGGGTCCTGTAGACGGTCTTGGGGCACCGCCGCCACGGGATCCAGCCACCGCAAGCCACATAGGTCACGTGGGACGACTGCACCGCCTCCACCCGCTGCTCGGTCCTCGTCTCCTGGTAGCTGCACAGCTGGTAGCTCAGCAAGGAGAGGCCGGTCTCTAAGGGCCGAGGGGAGAGAGGGTGTCAGGAGGAAAAGGAAGGCCAACAAATATTTAGGGCGCAGGAGAGGACTGCAGAGACTCTGTCACCTGCAAGAGCTGATGGGAACATATGGTGCGTATTTAAATTAAAAATTTATTCCAGTAATAGACATGGATCGTCCTCCAGCCCATTCTCCTCACTTCACACACACTCATCCCATGTCCTGGCCGCTTCCTGCAGCAGCTCTGGGGTCCTCTTCCTGAGCGTCTTTGTGAGGTGTGATCAGAAATATGGTGACTGCTGCTGTCGAGTGCCATCCCATGGAAAGGCAACTCGTAAAAACATGACGCTGGGGCCTCATCCACCTTAGTCACCGGATCTGGCACTGTGACTTCCGGCTCTTCCCCAAGGTCAAAATGACCACGAAAGGGAAACTTTTTTTTTTGGTCCTGGGGATCGAACTCTGGACCTTGCATTTGCTAGGCAGGTGGAACCACTGAGCTAATCCCCGGCCCAGGGAAACGTTTTTAATTGATTCAGGACATCGAGGCAGCCAGGACAGCAAAACTAAAGACACTCAGGAAAGAGGACTCCACAGCCGCTGCAGGAAGGGGCGAGGATGATGGAAGGAGGGTGTTTGAAGCGAGGCGGGGCTTGTGAAGGGATTCATGGCAACGTGTGTTTACTGTAATAATTCTTTACTTAAACACACACACACCATATTTTTGGTCACACCTCATACACTGTAGATAGTAAAGGTCGCTTTGACTGTGCCCACGTCCTTGGCTGAAGGAGGGCAGGGTCACCTCTGCTGTAGCGTAGATCGAGCATCTCGCTCCCCCCAGGGGCCCTGAGCTCCTCCTGCCTGGAGCCGGGTCTTGCATACCGATGTCCCCTCCCCTCACAGGTGCAATCACTCTGTTCAGGAAACTCAGCCTTTGTGACCGTTACTCTCCACGCCCCCGTCCCGGGCAGCCTCCCACCACCAGGGCATCTGTCACCCTATGTCACAGAAACTGCTAGAATTGCGTTCCCCCAGCACATGCTGGGGTCAGCTCAGAATGGGACCTGACTGAAGATCAGGTCTACAGAGGTCACCGAGTTAAAATGAGGTCGGAGGTTGGGGCCCAGTGGTGCAATATCATTGGTTCCCTTATAAAAATGGGAATTTGGAGAAGGCACCCCACAAGGGGAAGAGGGCCATGTGGAGATGAAAGCAGAAATCAGAATGACTCCCCTACAAGCCAAGAAATGCCAAAGACTGCTAAAAACAGAAAAACAAACAGCAGAAGCCAGGCATGGTGGTGCTTGTTTTGTATGCCCAGCACCTTGGGAGACTGAAGCATGAGGATTGCAAGTTTGATCCCTTCCTGGGCTACTTAGTGACTTACTGAGACCCAGTCTCAAAATTTTAAGCAAGCTGGGCGTGGTGGTGCACACCTGTAACCCCAACACTTGGGAGGCTGAGGTAAGAGGATTGCCATGAGTTCAAGACCCGCCTGGGCCACATAGTGAGCTACTGCAGGTGGACACCAGTGCTGAGTCCTAGGCTGTCCAGAGCCAGCCCCTCACCAGTCACCTCCACCAGGGCCACCTGCGTCCTGGCCACACCAGGGCACAGCTGGGTCTCTGGGGTGCAGCTGCCTACTGCTCAGCTCCGGCAAATGTGGTCACAGTACAGTCTAGAGAGGAGCAGGCCTCATGGCCCCAAGTGTGGCCAAAGCCTAGTTGTGGCCCAGGTGAGGATGGCAGAAAGAGCAGAAGGAATGGGGCAGTGACTTATGACCACTTCGAGCAAGACAGAGCCACAGGTGCCCTACAGCAGGAACCTGGTGAGGCAGATGTAGATGTTTTCAACGGGCCCAGGAAGAGGCCTCGGCCATGTTGATGAAGGTCACAATCTCAGGTCTCCCGAGAGCCTCCTGGCTCTCTCTGCTCTTTACAGGGCCCCAGCTGAGCCCCAGAGAGCCTCTGGCTCCCACACACGCACGCACTCAGCGTCTCCAGGGAAGCTGGGGATGTGCCTGCTTGTTTTGTTTTTACCTTCTACCAAGGCCCAGTATCAGCCCAAGCCCAGGGCAGAGACCTTTGGGTGACCCTGCCATGCAACAAGCGCATGAAGAGCTGTGGCAGTGGGGCCGCCTGGCCTGGGTTCTGGTCCCAGAGACTGAGCTGGTGAGGGCCCTGCCCTCACCAATGCCCGCTGGCATCTCCAGAGCCTCCAGCCCTCCCAGAGCACACTGTGACAGGCCTCTGGGGACAACAGGCAGCAAGCCACTCCCATGCCAGAGGCCCAGCCAACCCCAAGGATGGACGGTACCCTCTCCATGCCCCTGCTTTGTCCCGTGTGAAACTATTGCTATGCCAACTTGTAGACAGATCGGGTCGCCCTGCCTGCGGATCAGTCCCGGAACTCAGTGAAAATTCTACACAGAATCTCTGCTCTCAGGACCAGGAGAGAGTGGGGTGCAGGCCTGGGGAATATGGCGCACATCTTGTGTCCTCGAGTGGCTCCCAAGTCCTTTCTGGGAGCTGTGCTGACCCCTGACATTACCACCCCTTCCGCACAGAGCTGTGTGGTTCACGCCTCCCTCCTTCAGTGCCAGCGTCACTCAAAAAATGCACAACTAAAATAAAATCCTACTCTAGTGGGCAAAAAAATCTTAAACTAGTCCAAAAATGAAGTTGCTTTTAGAAGCGGAATGGATCTCTTTAAGTGCCCAGCCGAATGAGGGAGATTTTAAGGGGAAAATGGTTTCTAAGTTTTGCCATCTCAATCCCTTGAAATGTGGGGTTTTGGGGATCCAGGAGCATGGGGAGTGGGGGGTTGTTTGGTTTTGCTGTTCTGGGGATGGAAGCCAGAGCCGCGTGTGTGGGAAGCGAGTGCTCTTCCACAGGGCTGCACCCTCGCCTGCTGCTGCCTGCTAACAGCTGCCCTGCGGACCGCACACCACCTGGCACTTCAGGCTGCTCCCTGGCGCTGAGGTGGGCACTCCGCTCGGGAGCTGCGTGGCGGTCGGCAGGCCCCAGCCACTCTCCCTGTGGTCTCCCTGTGGTCCGAAGGACACTAATGCCTGGAGCTCGGGGGCTCAGCCTCCAGCCTCCAAGAGCTCGCTGTTCGCTGCATGGTCAGGGACCCACCACAGCCCATGGCTGCACGAATGTAGCCCCAGGCCCTCCTGACCCACCGGCAGGGAATCTACATGTGATTCCCTGGCCCCAGATGCAAGGGTCTCACGGGACCCTTGGGGGGGGGCACACACAGACAGCCTCCTACCCACCCCCACAGCCTGCTGCTGCACATGGCTCCGGACAGCCCAGCTAGCCAGGAGCAGGTGCATCCTCGCCTGTCCACGTCTCACAGGTGCTGACCTCCTGAAACCCCCCTAGGGACCCCTCCCCAGAATGGCCTGCAGCCCACCCAGCTCCCTCACCTGTGAGGCCGCTGGCCCAGCTGTGCCCCACGGCACTGGCCAAAGCCAGCAGCACCAGCCTTAGCATCCCGGGCATCGTCCCACAGCAGCAGTGGCAGTGCAGGGTTCAGGGCCTCCACCGCAGCAGTCTGAGGCCTCAGCAGGGACCTGAGCTGACCGGGCCTGGAGGAAGGGCCCTTCTGTCCCCAGCGCTGCGGGCAGCAGCGATGGCTCTAACAGCAAGCGCTCACTGGAGCAGTCCCTTATGCCTGCTCGTTAGCGACTGCCACAGCCATGGACGTCTCCCTGGGGGCACCTGCATGTCACAGCCTATTCTTGCTCCAAGCAGATGGCATGTCTGAGGAAAGGTGAGCAGCTGATGGCCCAGCCACATCACTGGGGCCATCTCGTTGTTATGCAGAAAATGCATTTCAGACCCAAATCTCACTGCCCCCATGAGCTCCAGAGTATTCATTTACCCTATCGTCCCAAGCTGGCAGGAGAAAACAGGGTCATATCAAAGTGGTACATCGGCTTCAGAAAGGCGCCTTCACACGGCTCCCAGTGTGGCTCACAAGTCAGGTCCAACTGGCCCCGGGACCTCCCCCGGGGCTGGCAGGAGCTGGATTCCCAGGTGTCCTCTCTGCCTTTTCCACGACTTAAAGTGGAAAATTATAGATGGGAGAGGCGCAGGGAGAGAAATAAACTCCTGGGAAACATCTACATGTGATGCCATGTAGGTGGAGAAATGCTCATCGAGGAGATCTTCCAACAGCTGTGAAAAAGCAAACTCATAATGAGAAGTCCAAACGGGCTCGGCTCATGCTATTCTCTGCAAGATTCTCGTGAGAGCTGGGGAACCAGGACTGCCCGGGAAGGGAAGGAGGGAGCATCTTGAGGGGTGTAGGATTACAGGTGATGCATTTCTTATCTCAGCAGCCCCCTGGAGGTTTTTTTGGGGTTTTTTGGTACAGGGATCGAACTCAGGCCCTTGCATTTTTGAGGCAGGCCGCAAAATCACTGAGCTAGATCCCTGGCCCCCCACCCTGTTATATTTTTAAATTTCGTATCAAATTATTTCCAGTCTATGAGGCTTTTGCTGGGAATGGTTTGAGGTTGAAAACCAGAACTCAGCTAATATGAGAGGAAGAAAATCTCGTTAGCATTCTTGAGAAAACGGCCGGCTGGGTGATGCAGACTATCTGGGCTCTGGCTGAGGGGAGGACAGCTCTCCCAGGGGTCTGCTACCTAACGCCCGCATTGGCATTGCTACGTCCCTTGCTCCCTGGACCTGAGTCTCCCGGAAGATTAAGTGCTGCGTTGGCATGGTTAGCAGCCAGGTAACAGATGCCACAACAGCAACATAGAAAGAAGGCGCAAAGTCACAGCAGAGGGTTTCCCTGGAGGACATGGAAAGCCAGAGCTTCCTAAAGACTGATCGCAAACTGTGCTGTAACTCAGGCTATACAACAGAGTTTTAATAAGAAAAATATAACCAAGAGATGGAGGGGGAAGGAGGGGAGCAGAAGAGGATGTCAAAAGCATCGATGTGTTTTTTGTACAGGTATCAAACCCCACAGGACATGTGGTCCTTATACACTGCGAACATGGAGTAATCCAAGTGAAAGAATAGATTTTAAAACTATAATGTTCAAGGAAATCCATTTGATTGGCACTAAAAGAATAAGTAGATGGGCCGGGGATTTAGCTCAGTGGTTCTGGCACCTGCCCCGTAAGCACAAGGTCCCGAGTTCGATCTCCAGTTCCAAAAAAAAAAAAAAGAAGAAGTAGAAAAAGATTACTTGCAGTTCAAATAAATCTGGAATATAAAAGTACAAGATGAGCCTGTACTATGACAATGCATTTACCATTTCTCAGAACTTTGCTCCTACAACACATGAATGCTTTAGGAAGTGAAATCAGGGCTGCTATTACCCTTGAAAACTCTAAATTGCCATGAAACTCACATAGACCCTTGACCTCACTTGTCCCCAGGGAAGGGGCACAGGGTGTGGGGTGAACCTGGCCTCTCCTCTCCCTCTGCACCCTGGCTGGCCCTGACCCTGATGAGGCCAACTTCCACGGACCCAAGGAAGGACCAGCATGGGACATTTGGCCACACGGGATTTCACGGTAATTTGGAATTGTCCAGAACTGTCACTATAACGTGCTTTCTCTTTTACAGAAAACCCCCAAAGTTAGCAGTCTCTTCCTAGCTTGGCCTCTCCCCTGGCCTCTCTTCCATACGAGCACAAGGGTGGGTGTGTGTGCGTGCACGCGCGCGCAGGCACAAGGAGGCATTTTTCTCCAGTTATCAACGTTGCAGATTTTTCTGCATGGCGTCCCTGGGGATTCTCCACTTTCACCCTTCTCATGTAAACACTTGCAAAAGGAAGCAGCTGAAGTTAGAGGTTCACTGCATCTTTAAGACCCTCTGGAAATTTGCTGTCTAAGTGAGATTCCTGGAAAGGAAGAGGGTTTGAGTCTCTTTTGTGTCCTGATGCTGTAGTTTTCCCCCAAAAAGTGTAATTTTAAAAATTTAATTTTCCTGTCTCTTTTTTACCTCTCTTTATTTCTTCTGTCCTACCTCAAGAGGAGTTCACTTATCCTGACCCATGCTCACACTTGGGTTGACACATTCTTGCATTGCAAATTGCTCCTTCTAGAGTCTTCTCCCACAGCAGCCACCACCCCAAGGGAGAGCAGGAGGGAGGGACATTTGCCCTCTCCCATGGCCTGGTCTAAGGTGAAAGCCAAGGACTGGGCTTGGGTGGGGACGATGGACAGGGAGAGGTGGGTGGTAGAAACTCAGTTCCCACAGAGCTGTCCTGGCAGAAACGGGGACCCCCAAAGACACCTCCACCCACACTCCTGCTGCAGGGCACAGAGCAACCAGGGCTTAGGACAGGAACCACTTCAAGACAGGCTCTGCTTCCTCACTGGGAGTCTGGTGTCTGTGTTCCATTCATAGCCAGTCAGTGTATGTCTTAGTCACTTCCCATCACTAGGACAAAACACCTCACATAACACCTTAAAGGACGAGATGTTTATTTGGGCTCACAGTTGCAGAAGGTTCAGTCCATGGTCAGCTGGCTCCAAGGCAGGAAGTGGCATGGTGGAAGGGTGTGATGGAGGAAAGCTGCTCACCCCACGGCTGTCAGGAAGCAGAGAAAAAGGAAGGAGCAAGGATACCAACACAGCCATCCAGGTTATGACCCAGTGACCAACCTCCTCTGACCAGGCCCTGCCTCCCAACAGCACACTCAGGCAGGAGCTCATCTCTGGACAAATCCAGCAATGAACATGGCGCCTCATGATCCAATCATCATCCATGAGCCCCACCTCTAAACACAGGAGATTTGGGGGACATTCTAGATCTAAACCACAAAGTAGGGCCTATGCAGGTGATGGTGGGGAGAAGCTGTCCTCCCTGAGGCTCAGCGAGGCTGGGTTCCTTCCCAGCTGGGAGAACCAGCTGGTTTGCACCATGGTGTTGAGGAGCTGAAGAGGTGATTCATAAAATAGAAAACATTTTGGATTTGGAAGAGGCCTGCCTAATCCAAGCCAGCTTCCAGCCCAATCCAAGCAGCTCTCTGACACTTGCAGTTAATTCAAAGGGGTTTCCTGGGGTATGTGTGGGGACCTCCTGACTTGTTGAAAATGCAGGCTCCCAGCCTCATGCCAAACTTACTCAAAATGCTGGGGGGACAGCCCCAGTCTTCAGGCCACCCCCGTGCAGACAGGAGCTCAGGAACTTATGACTCAGTCCCCCAAAGACCAGAAGACTCAGCCCCACTTGCGCAGCACCCCCTTTTCAAATGGCACATAATAATTGTGCATAGCTAAGGGCCACAGCCTGATCATTCAGTACATGCATGCCATGTGTGATGATCAAGGGAGGCCTGGCAGCATTTCCAGCTCCTTACAAACTCTGTTCTCACACAGAAAATCTCTGCACATAGGTAGACTAGAAGGAAATGCATTTTAGTACTGAATCAGCATAAAGGGAGCAGCAAGACCGGAAGCTGCCCCCTTTCCACACCACCTGGACACAGCCACACATACACAGAGGTTTGAGGTGGTCAAGGACGAGTCCTCAGGAAGAGAAGGCATACCCAGGTGTGGTGTTGCAGCACTCGGGAGGCTAAGACAGGAGGATCGCCATGAGTTTGAGCCCAGGCTGGGTTACATAGTGAGTTCAAGACCAGCCTGGACTATATAGAGAGACTCTCTCTCAAAAAAAAAGAGGAGGAAGGGAAGGAAAGAAGGCAGCAGCAAGCCATTCACATGTGGCTCCTCCTGACTCGTGTGGTAGTTCATGATTATCTGTGTGAGTTGCTTTAATCCAGAGGAAAAATGAGCCCCGTTTAGGGCAGGAGGAGCTCTGGTTCCTGCCCCCACAGAGCCTGGGAGGTAGGGATGTAGGGATGCTGACTCCCTGGGTGTCTGCATGATGAAGTGATGGCTTCCAGGTCCTTGAGAAGGACAATCTGAGGTCATAAAGCCAATAGTGTGCCTATCTGGTCTTCCGAAGAACTGACCACACATTTCAAAGACAGGAGGAAGAAGAGAGGGTGAGAAGTCTCCTTCAGGGTTTGCTCAGGGGAAAAGAGGGCTGTGAATGCCTTCTCTTCAATGGGGAGAATTAAGCCTTATTTTCAATTTTGATTTTTTCTGACAGCTGGCCAGACAGCTATTTGCAAAGGAGTGGGGCAACACCCCCAGGAGACTGGACGGAGGCCTGTGAGGGTCCCACATGACTGAGATTCCGAGCACCCAGGACAAGATGTAGCATCAGTTCCTGAGACACAAACACCATGACCAGGAGTGGTATCAGTCCTGACTCCAAAAGCAAGGGCAGGAAGAGGAAGGTCCTGGGGCTGGCAGTGGAGGCAAGTGGCCCAGGGAGAAGGATGGCAGCCATGCTCCCAGTTCTGTCCTTGTCTGCTTTCCATAGCTGTAACAGATTCCCTGACCCCAGGTGGTTTATAATGAACAGAGGTTTATTTGGGCTCACAGCTCTGGAGCCTGGAAGCCCAACAGCGTGGTGCCAGCATCTCCTTGGCTTCTGGTGAGGGCTGTGGGCTGCACCAAAAG